ATGCTCTGGGCACTCTGGCGATTGTTCTGCCAATGAAGATATAGACTTTGAGAATGAGGGGAAAAATATGCTGCTGGGTGCAAGTGAAAATTTTCGCGCAAAAGAAGCTGGAGGTGATGTGATGGACGAAAAGTGCCGATCGAAAAACGGCGCTGACTCGGAAAATCGGACACTAGGCCGCAGACGGATACGGGAGGGTAGCAATCGCCAGCGCAAAGGCAGCATTGACAAATTAAAATTAAAATTACACTTTGCTCGGCGTATTTTTTACTGAAATGAAGGGAATCAGGTCGCTAACTGAACCCTTCATGGTAGGTGCTGGACGGCGGTTAGCTTCGTATTCCGCAAAAGGGCGGACAGTTGCACCGAGAATAAACATCCCTAAAATCACATCCAGGAACACAGTGGCATCTGCCTTTCGTTCGGTGGCTGAGCCGCTGCAGAAAGCCCTATTTGAAACTGCCGGTGAGACTCTGGCTGCTCGAGCAAATATTGATGCAGTGGAAGTATGTAGATGAGTTCTTATTATGATAGCTACAAAGGAGAGCCACAATTTCCACGGCAGCAAAGCACCTCATAAAACAGCGGAAAGCTATGCAACACCACCAGATCGCCATGATTCTCTCCTCGCGGCAAAAGGCTCTGGATGCGCTAAAAGAGATATCACCAAAGCTGCACGCACTGGCAACAGACCCCTCTCTTATTAGAAATGGCGTGCCCCTTGAACGGCGCATGCTTACCATGACACCCCCGGCACCTGATGTAGCCGTCTCCTAAATAACATATCATTAAAGCCAAATCCTCTAAATGTTGAATTGCATGTCCTGCCGGTATCCACTGTTTATGATTATTTGCGAAGAAAGCAATGGTCGACAAGAGCCGCTCCAAGCCCAAAAGAAATGCCGGCCGCAAGGGCATTGATTGACTTTTTGAGGATGACCCTCCAAAAGTCATGCTCGGAGATTGGTGAGGGAGCAAAGAAAATCGGATCCACTCCTGCTGCTGCATCAACATTCTGATCCTCATCGTCAAGGGAGCGGATCAAGGCAAGCACCGCTGCATTTCCATTAATATTCTCAACCTCAATCAGAGTGGGAGACGGAGACCTTTCGGCCAACATGAAAATTGAATTTAAAATGGGTTCAAGCCCACCTATTATGGCCGATCTTTAATCCCAACCCTAACCCTAAATTCAAAGTGATAAAAAGTACAAGTCCTAGGGGTTTGAGCCCGGCTTTGCAGAGCAAACTATATGAGCATTTAACCAGATCGGGGATTTGCGAAACTTGAAAGATAACGGATTCGGAATGTAGGGTTAGAGTGGGCATTAAGTACGAGCTTTCCAGTAGTGTTCCTGTAACTCTTTAATGAATCGTTTATTGCCCTGCAAGAATACGTAAACCGGGTATACAGATATGTCTGCACGATAAGAATTAGATCTTTTTTGATAGCATGCACATTTCTATAAAGAATAGAAAAGTACAACGTCAAGCAATGTGCATGGCGAGAAAGTAGAAGCCTACGATTCGCAACTCTTGCCGCTTGATATTAGTCGGCTCCGGTTATTTGGTGAATCGTAAACTCTATGGCAAAAAACATTAAAAACCGGTGACATAATAAAAAAGAGGTTTGATGAACTGCTGAAACTCTGATTCTTTTCCCCTCCAAACGACTGGGAATATGATAAGCCGATTATTGTTTTTTACATGTAAAGGATAGAAATCCGACAGTCATTTGTTTTCAGATACTTTCAATGCCTGATCAAAAAGCCTAAAGCAGCCAAAAGGCTACCCTCATGGCTAACTATTATGTCCAGCTGCTGCATAATGTGATAATTACGAGGGTTGACTCAACGATTAATAGCTCTGGACGCTTCTTTGGTGACTGATATGCCTGTCAATGATGGCTATACAAGCTATACTGCTCTTCAGCAGTCTGAAGGGCTGGAAAAATCTAAGGCATCGCGAGAACCATAGTAAAGAGGAGAAAAAGCCTTTGAGTCTTTCTCTAGGCAGGTAGCTTGTTAAAACGCCATCCTTCTGGAAATTAATATACCTTTGCATCTTGAGTGTCGCGCCTAGTGAAAAGCGGTAAGCAGACAATCATGGATGCACCCAAATAATTGGATTGCCTGACCAACATCATGGGGTGCAAATTTAAACTCAGATTGGCAAAATTCAAGCCTAAATTCAACATATTTGGTATTGCATCCCGATCGGAGAAATTGGCTTGCTTTTACCCATATATGGACGTTACCCCTGCGGATCAAAGTGCGGGGTGGCTTTCGATAAAACCATTGAACAATTACATTTATGTTCCGGACTTAAGGAAAGTTATGGTGAACCTCAACTCGGCATAGATCTGGATGCTCCTCATGGATGGACAAGGCTATTTTAATGTTTGCATTATTTGGGGCTAACCTGGAGCTATGGGACTCCCATAACGCAACACATCCTTTGATTGCACATTTAAACTTTTGGAGGCATGTCATTCTTTATTTATTATTGCCTTTGTGCTGTTTTTAACATGGATTACTGTCAATGGCACCGCCCTGATGGGCCCTTGATTTGGCTGGCTTGGTAGTTAACCCGAGAAATTTATGTTGATCCCAGCATCAGAGGTCCCTTTTTGCTTCGGGAATGTGCTCATTCAGTTGGGTTTATCGGGATAAGACCTAAATCTAGCAGCTATTGCAAATTAAGACTTTGTAGCCCTTTTGTGCAATGTGTGATACTAAAGCTAGCAATTCACTATCAACACACGCTTAATCAACAGATTAATTGTTCAAAGTGCCCAATGCAGCGAACTCCCGCAAGTTTGTTTTTTGAGCTTTTAACGTTACTTGCAGCTTTGGTCTATTTTACAAATGCAAGCAAAGGCGACCGTTCGCCGCAGTTCAGGGCATGCGTGGGAGATTGCTCAAGGTTCTTCTCAAGCGGACCGTATCTCGGAGAGCATCAGTTTTATTATCCAAATGTGATCCTATTTCGCCTTTTCCAATGGAACATTGTTGATGAATGTAAATACCAATGCATGCACATCTGCGAATCAAACTTATCACAGGCGTCCACCGAGAAAGAGCCTCTGCAATATTTTGGAAAATGGCCCTTTATTCGAGTCCTCGGGGTTCAGGAGTTTTTTTCCGTGCTGTTCTCGTTTGCTAACTTGTTTGCCCACAAATACGGATACCAGAAAACGCGCCAAACTGTCCATTCCGAGCCTCTTTATAAATATTATTTCATAACCTCCACGCTCACCTGGATTTCATCAGCCATTTTCCACTCAAGAGATACAAGGTTTACGGAGTTCCTTGATTATTTCTTTGCATTTGCCTCGATTTTATTTGCCCTCTTTATTGCAATTGATCGGGTTTTTCTCAATAGGCGGTTTTTGTCTTCGCTTCTGCGACGCTGTCTTGGCCTGTTCTTTTTGTGGATCCTGGTATTCCATTACTACCGCATGGCGATGGTTGCATTTGATTATTCACTCAATATGAAAGTAAATGCTGTCGCCATTGTATTACATGCCGCGGTTTGGACTTATTGGGCAATTAAACACCCATTTTATTTCTTTCGAAGGAAAATTCTGTTGTTCATCCTGTGTATTTCGCTTGCCTCCCTCTTTGAGATACTCGACTTTCCTCCTTTTTTTGGCTTGATTGACGCACATGCTCTTTGGCATGCCTCGACCACTTTTCTAGTGCCGCTGTACTGGTCCTTCCTCAGGGATGAGTATGAGGCAGCGAATGCACACGGCGAGACTTGTGTATTGTATACTAAAATGCTGTAAAATTGTTTAATGTTCAGATTTCCATACCAAAAGAGGAGCAGACATTGCTCTGCGTACTATATGCATAGGTTCATACTTACAGGCGTGTAGCCACCGATTTACATACATAAATAACTCACATGGAAGAGCCCCTGCATGTAAGAGGCGATATGGAGCCCTCCCTTCTGTCCCGTATTTGTTGGCTGTATTTATCGCCATTTTTCTCGCAGATCGGATTGTTACATTCGGTTTTTGCACCATCTTCGCTTTCATTGCCATCATCATCCTCATCGTAATCATCATCATCATCATCAAGATAGCTGGCTTCTACTATGGGCGGCCATTTTATGAACTCTTTGCTGGCGCCATAAATGTTTTCAAAATGTATGCCATCGCCAGCTTGCCGCGAAAGGCAACAGAAAATAGCTGCGACTATGGGAAGTCGGGTGTGTGAAAAGACAGCCCTAATGTTTTTCCAAGCACCCAAGTCATATGGAAATTTCGATGAATTCTGTAGACTGAGAATGGCAAGCTTTTCGTCTGCATCAAGCGAATTCTAAGCGAGGAAGCTTTGTAGGATAGCATACCTGGCCTTGTATCATGTACGAAATATACCCAGAAAGTGTGTCCTGTTCCAGCCCTTCAATATATGTCCTACCATTGACCAAATTGATAATCTAAGCCCAAATCAGAGACAAGAAGCCATACCTGGCGCACAAACAGAATCAAGATGGCGAGGAAAACAATTGCCAGAATGATGCAATTTGAGAGAAGAACCATTTGTCGTTTGTATATTTCCTTGAAAATCAGGCTGATCAACACTGGCTGTAATGCATACGACGATAAAGACGAAAATGCATTCGAACTGCTTCGATCAAATGGCCAAACCGGGTTAGGGGAAAGCGAATCGGAAAAGGTTGGCGAAAATGAATTCGAATAAGACGATGGATACGAAAGACAGCAGAGAAGATTGAAATTCAGGCTAAAAAATATCACCGACGTGACAAGAACAAAGAAAAGAAAGCGAAGAAAGAACGGAAAGTTGAGATATCCTATGCAGCCGCCCACCCATGGGCAGTGATGATCCATCGCCAGAACACATCTATTGCACGTGGAGCAATGGTGAGCCCTCGGTGGCTTGGAGCGGCCGCAGCTCCGGCACAAAGGAAGCGATGCATGCCGAAAGTCGTTGGGGATGGTGCCCGGATCAACTGTCGAGGTCAAGTAATAGTTTATGTACACAAGGAGCATCGCAGAATTGCACAGGGAAAAGTAAAACACATTGGCTATCGGCTGTGCCCAGTTATTAATGACCACAATAAACGCCATTGCAGAGGCGTGCAGATACACCATCAGAAACATTGACAGGAAGCGGCAGCAATAGTCGATGATCTTTGAATTTCGCATTGTGGAATGAAATTTAATTTTTGTGTTTGAAGAACACAAACATGACTACGCCCCCCTCCTCTTTGCCATATCGTCCCAACGTGCTTGCCGTTTTTTTCAAGACAATTGCAAATTGCGAGCGATGCATGAAAATTCCAAAAAACACTTTGCTTGACAAATGCGACCTTGTTGATGCCCATTGTCGCGTGCTCGTTGGCCTGCGGAGTGACAAACGAGGCTGGCAATTTCCTCAGGGTGGTATTGATTTCCCCACGGATGCCACCCCGAAGGATGCTCTCTTGCGCGAAATTAAGGAAGAGCTTGGCCTGGACCCGGCTGACTATGAAATCAAACATATGCTTGGTCAGCCCATCTACTATGAATTTGATCCCTCAAATGTGAATCGGTTTCTCAAGCTATTCAGAGGCCAGGAGCAATTCTGGTTTGCATGCCTGCTAAATTCGCCACACCTACCGGACCTCTCCAAAGCTACAGACGACGAGTTTATTGACGTCAAATGGGTTTCCCCCTCCCAGGCTCTCGACGGAATTGTTCCCTTCAAAAGGGCGGCATATGTGGAGGGGCTGACTCAGCTGGGCCTCTTGTAAACTCAATTGCACGTCCAGGCGCCACTAGCCCAATTACGACACATTTGTATGAGTGAGTAAATATTTGTATTTGTATCAGTAAATATTTGTATTTGTATTCGATCAGCATCAGACTTTTTAAAGGTAGCTGGAGTTGTCGCTCATGAGAATAGGTTCTCGGACAAATGCCAAAGTCATCACTTGACTATTAAATTTGCAAATGCACACATTTAAAATCGAATTTAAAATTTTCCGCTTGTGGGAAATACCGTTGCGGAGGCGACAATGAGAGTAACCAATCGATTCCGTCCGTATTCCCTGCTGGCCAAGCTACGTAGTTTGCTTTTCCCTACAAGGGAAAAGCAACAGCCTTCTGAAACTCTGCAAAAAAAAATTGATCCCAAAAACGCTGCGAATAGCATGCATGCTGAGGAGCTGGAAGTTTCCTTTCCAATTTACTCGCAAGAGCGCCCAGATAAGGACAAGGATGTCCAAAAGATAACACCGAAGCATACAATCACCGCTGGGGACCCAAATTTAGAGATCCCTCCAAATTCTCCCTTGCAACATGACCCTGTCTCACAAGGCAAGCAGCTTGAGACAAAGCCCCGAACGGTGGTGTCTCCCGTAAAGTTTAGACCTTCGTTTCTTTCCGACACGCTTGCTCAGAAAAAGCACGCAATGAAATACATCTCAAAATGCACCTCAAAGATTTCTGCATTTAGAAGAGAATATGAGGCACGACTGGAGTCTCGTGAAATTATTCGCCAACAAAGCGGATTTTCACGGTCGCTTTTGAGAAGCAAGTTACGAAAGTTCTTCAAAAAACGCTTGGTCAGGGGACGCCCCGTTTTTCCACCGCCTTTTCAGGTTTCACTTAAAAGCCCAGATTCTGTACTCAAAGGGCTTGAAGCGGCGCGGGATCAATTGATCTCCAACTCGGCTTGGTGGGAAAAGGAAATGCTTCCAGATGCAAGTGATAGGGTGAGATCAACAGAAGGGCCAGCGGCGAAAAAGTATTCGAAAATCGTAGAGTCCCTTGCCCCAAATGCCACCGAATTGGTGAAGGCCTCGAGGGGCATCCCCAAATTGCTGGAACACTTGATGACAAAAAAGAAGCACATCGAAACGTTGTCGGTGTTTTCGTCCGAATTTATCACTCCAGAAAACGTGGATGCAAAGATCCAAGAGGCTATTGAAAATCCAACATCCTTCAACGTGCCAGTCGAAGAAATGCTGAAGCAGCAATACAAAGCAGATATGATTTTTTCTGCCATTTCAGAGGCCGTTGATAAAAAAACCGGCTTTTCCAAACAAGCGGTCGAGTCGATTCCTTCCAGCATGCAAAGGAAAAAGTCTCAAAATGCCCTGGAAAACTACTCGTTTCCAAAAGCATCCTAATTTACATAAATATTTTAGCTCAAGTGTTTAATGTCTAGAGGACCAGTTAACATGGGGTTGCAGGTCGGAAACATTTTCCACCGCACTGAGAAGCATTTCGATCACCGATTCGCGTTTTGATGCAAAGTTTTGTGTTGTCTCGGCAATCAGTTGGGCGGAAATGATCTCTTCCCTTGAGATTGTATCGCGAAGCATTGAGGAATACTAAAATTAGTGGCAAAAAAAACCTTCTGTTCCGCTTCTATGATTTCTTGCTTCTTGGCCTCCTTGAGGGCAAGAATTTCTTGCATGGCCTCGGTTTTTGCTTCCTTAAGTCGGCGGGTTCTGTCTAGTGGATATAAGCAGATGCGGATCCTACATTCTCTGCCGTCGGCAATGATCTTTTTAGCCTCTTTTTCAGCCTCTAGCAGTATCTGGATTCCTTGGGAATTGTGGATGCTAGTTGAAGACATTTTGGATGTAATTCGATTCAAGCTAATTCAATTTGATTCAAGTTTTTATTTCGATTCAAGTTTTTATTTCGATTCAAATTAGTTTATTTCAATTTAATTTGGGAACCTACTGCAATGAGAGTCCAGCAAGTTTGAATGCATTTGCACTTGGTTTCATGCAAGCACAAAAAAGTATTTGGGAAAAGCCTACTTTTTACATGAACGAATTCCAACAACGTAAAAGACCGATCTTCTCCATCTCGTCATTTGCATCTCCAATAATAAGGCCGGGTTCCCTGCCGCATGCAATCAGAACCACAGATGCATCAAGCAATCAAGATTTGGAAGCCTCAAAACACACAACGTCTATGGTATCTTCTGGCATAGAATATAACCCAGCCTCCGATATCCATGCAAAGATAGAAACCATGTACTCCATTCTTGGGTATGTTCTAAAATTCTGCACAACTGTGCAGAATGAAGCGCTTTTTCATGTACTGAAGTTTGGCTCACAAAGTTGTAGAAAAGTTCGATGGAAACCTCTGAAAGGTCGCTAAATAGCGTCTGTGAAAATGTATTGAGCACCTTGAATGGCATTTCCGAATTGGAAGGACAAATGATAAACTCCTCCTCCGAAATTCTTACACTAACGCAGCGGTAAAGCAATGTTTAACAGTAGAGTCGAGATGCTGCTAAAAAAGGACTCTTCCTACCAGAAAAATATGGACGAGCTTAATTTGATGGAGAAACAGGTCACCGAATTTGCCAATGCCACCCTCGTTGAAAACAACGGATATATCGAGGGTTAGTCGATCTTGTTAACCTTGCTTAGAAGCTGCAAGGTTACGGAAAAATGTGTCCCAATTGAGTGATGAGATTGAAAAATTGACGCATTCAAGTACTACTTGTGGGTGTCATCTGTTTAGAAAATTCTCTCGAGCTCAAGTCTTGCACGCTACAAGAGACAATTGAGGCGAAATCTGCGCAAATAAAAACCCTTGATGGCGAGGCGGAAAAATATAAGCAAGGAATCTGCGAAATTGAGCAAAAACTTGCAATCGAAATAGGTATCCGAGTGCCTCTTTCTTAGAATCAAATGCCCGGTCGCAAGCATTGGCCGTTAGCGAGCATGAAAAAAGGCTAAATGAACAAAAACGCCTCTTTGAGGAGGCATTATCCAATCTTGAAGACAGATGTAGTTCAACCCTGGATTTATCCAACGAAAAAGACCACATGCTGGAAAGGTATTTCCGTTCCCGAGGCAAACGAAATTAGACTAGATGCAGAAATCGGCCATCTTCAATGCAAAGCTGAAAAGCAGGCCATTGATCTTCAAAAAGAGACCCATCAAAATGTATTCATTATTTACGTTCTTACTATTCGCCAAGAGGCAATTGGCATTGGAAATAGAAAACTTCAAAGCCAGCGAGATTCAGTCGGAGGTATCGATCCTCCCTTTAACAAGGCAGGATAGATATAATTCTTTGGATCGTCAATACATGGCCGATGTGAAAGTAATTGAGGCGCTCAGAGGCGAAATCAAAATCTTCAAAAGGTTTTCCAACCCATAAAATCATGTCATTGTAGTGAGATTTTGTCTTTATCGGCGGAGAATGAATCGGTAAAGGTTATGTTGGGCCCGGTAATAAACATCTATAGGCTCGTGAATCTCAACAGGCTTCGAAAATTTCCGAGATAATCAAAAAGAACCAAGTGCCAACGATGCCTTTTAACGCATAGATTGACTTTTTGGCGGAGAAAAATGGATACTTGGCCATCATAGACAGGCTTGAAAGTGATCTCAAGCAAAAAACAGATATCCAAAGGAAGCATGAGATATCTCCAAGTTCGCTGAAAAAAAGCAAATCAATGGAAATATTTGAGAGCTTGGAATCTTCGCTAAATGAGCTATCAGACCATCCATTTGTTGATGCCCACCATACGGGATCCTCATTTGTAGCAAAAGCAAGTCCAGAGCCCTCTAAGGTTATCCACAAGGTTAATTTTTATTGTCAAACACTTGGTAGAAATATTCAAAATCCAGAAAGAGCAATTCACCAAAAAAGCTTAATTAGCCACGATGCACATGGCAGCGCCGTGGTAGAATTTCTAACCAATTAAATATTTACACAAAATGCATTAGCGGGCAAGACCCTGCCGAAGCTTCTGATGTCCCTCTTCTGAAATTACCATCAGCTTCCTTTGCAGAGAAGCAAAGTTTGATTTCGGGGTGTCTTTGTCAAGCGGATAGCTACAAGCAAGCAAAGAATTTAAAGATTCGGCTTTCGAGACAAATTGCTCGTATTCTAGACTGGTATTGAAGCCGGTGTAAAGGACGGCCGGAGTTGCGACAAGCCTATATCTTTCCTGCTCCCATAGATTTAGCTGATCTTCGATCGTTGGTGGGACCGGAGTGGGCCAATTATTTTCAATGGCCACCTTAATTTGCGATGGGTGAGCAACTGAACGGAAGAAAGATAAAATTTGGGTGGATGTTAAACCCCGTTCAAATGCGCTTTGTAACGATTCGCGAGATAACACCCCGGTAGCCATTCCGGGAAAATGATTCTTCAGGGTAACAAACAGCGACAGTATGGAAATATGAAGGCTGCTATTGGTCATTGCGTACACCCGGTAATTGGTTTCGATGATTAAAAAGCCACCTGAGGCAGATGGAGAGTGAAAGTTGTCACCAAAGGGGCGAGGCTCATGCTCTGGACACGATTCTTTGTCAAAAAGTAGCCTGCAAAACGGTGTTATATAAAACCGATCTACCTGACCGCCCTATTGAAAGTATTCAAATTGGTTTCAACTAACCGCCGGCGGACAGATGATTCCCAAGTACTTTAAATCCGAAATGCAGGTATTTTGAAAGTCGGTCAAACATTCAGCTGAATAGTCCTACAAAATAGAAAGCATCTGGAAACGTACGAGAAACGGTTCGGTCCATGCAAGCAATGCGATCAACAGCCAAAATTCCTTCAGCTGTTCCATGGACTATATTTAAGCGAAGAATGATACCATTTTCAGCAAATATGAAGAGAGAAGGGTCCAGAGTTGATACTGGATGCTTTCAAGGACAAACTGAAATCCGGTTGCAGTTATAGCGGTCGAGTTCAGCAAACATCCGGACGAAATAAGCAATTGCCTCATAAAGGCATCCTTTTGCGAAATTTTAATTTCTACAAGTAGGAATGCTAGATTTACTTGTTTTCGATGGCGTTTCCAGCGGGGCCGCTTCGCAGGATACCAAAATCGACAGGATTTTCTCGAAAATTACTATAAGAACCGCATACATTGTAGGTGTTTGTCTGGTATGTCAGAATCGAGGATTTATCCAGTCGATATGCATCGGGATGTGTTGGTCTTTTTAAGAAGACCCTATTTGCGCTGGATGGAATCACAAGATTGCAAAATGAGTCCCTTAGACAAGTTGAAAACATCGGGTTGAGCCAAACTTTGGACTCCAGTCCCTGAAGCAACTTGAATGCCTTCAACGTAGCAAGCGTAGAATTTGAGGTGCTGTTGATACAGTAAAGCTTTTATTGCAAACCTGGAGGGCATGTCCGGTGTAAAGACTAGCTCATAAATATCCTTCAGCCCTATATGAGAATCCATAAATAGCAGTTTGGAAACAACGAGCTGGGCCTCCATAGGAAGCGATCTATGGGTAAAAACAGAACAAAACCTAAAAATTGCAAGCGAAAACGCAGGATGTGCGATCAAATCGTCAAGCAATTGGGCTCCAAGGATCTTTGAAATGGTTTTCAGGAACATGGCCAAATTTAATAAAAAAACCCCCAATTTTTTTATGAGATTAGACACTTGTAACTTTGGATTTCTCTCCAAATCCGACTGGCGTATCTTATATGCCATTGAAAGTGAATCAAAAACGCATGAAATTGTGCCGATTAAATTGATTTCTAAGCGGACAAAATTGGATCCCGTCTCTATTGACCAAGCTTGTGCGCTTCTTATGCGGTTTAAACTTTTAAGAAGAGAGGGCGAAGTTCAACATGGTGGTGCGTCTCAAGAAAACTGCAACATGACCGGGTCAACTAGTAGCTGCATTGATACCAATAAAGATCTGGCCTCTTCTCAACACAGAAGAAGGGGTCGAAAAGGGATCCCTCTTGGAACCTTGGGATACATTTTGGGATTTGGAGGCTTGGACTATTTAGCTCTGCATTTTTTCAAGCAAAAGAATTCTCTTTCTTGCATCTCAAACTCACGACTTGGTGTTGGAAAAGAGGCCGATATTCATGTTGGCGAACGTCTATCGCCCACTGACGGGGCCTTTCCAAAAGCAATTGTTGTCAAGTTTCATCGTCTGGGGCGAACGTCTTTTCGCTCAGTTCGAACCAAACGAGACTACCATCTCGGAAAGGGGGCAAATGCATCTTCATGGATGCATCTTTCCATGCTTGCAGCTGCAAAAGAGTGGGCATTCTTAAAGGTTTTGTGGTGCAAAATTCACTATTTTAGGCCCTTTATCAGCTTGGCTTTTCAGTGCCCATTCCCGTTGATCACAACAGACATGCAATTGTAATGGAAAGAATCGATGGACTTCCTTTAAACCAAGTTACGCATCTATTGGATCCACAGAGACTTTATCACGAGCTTGTTTCAATGATTGTGGCCATTGCACGATTGGGGCTGGTCCATGGGGACTTTAACGAGTTTAATGTTCTCGTCAGAAATCGCGACGAATCGCCTGTTCTTATCGATTTCCCCCAAATGGTCTCAATCAAGCATCGGAACGCTGCAGAGTAAAGTTCAGATGATTTATTCTAGATTTTATGAAAGGGACATAAGCTGCATTAGGAAATGGTTTAAAAGAAACTTTCCAACCGTTGATCTGGACTTTACATGCCAAGGTAATGTGTCAAAAACAGTGGCACCCTCCTCCCTTTGTTCCCTTGAATCTTCAGATGAGCTGAAAGCAGATGATATACGAGGAGAAGACTCCCAAGAATCAAAGCACACTTTCGGTTCTCCACATAAAGGCCATGCTGAAAATAAACTCGCCGAAGACAATCACGAAGAGTGTCGGATTTCTGAGGGCTGCTTTGCTGCCTTTGATTCCAACCCTGACAGCGGCGAGCCTGATGCTAGAGATTTTGGCTCTAGTGGCTCGTGTGTCTCCGAAAATGATGATATCGACTATGATTCTGGTTACGATTCCCCCAGGACCGGATCATGCACTTCGAGTCTTTTAGGATCGTCTTCCGATTCAGAGTCCGTCGAATCACTAGCTGAAGATCGCGAGTTTCCCCCCTATCTTTCAATGATAATCAAGGAATTAGAAGAAACAGGTCAATCCCCTCTCGATGAAGTCTTAAAGGCTTCTGGATATACCCATGGGCTTGAGGAAGAATTGGACAAGTACTGGGGGTTTTTGGCTATCCAATAAATTATTTAACAGCAAAGTGATGATCCATATGAAATTTTCCAAACAAGCAGCATATTCCGTCGCTTCCAGAGCATAGTTTAGTGGCTTTTTCTCATGATTGATCATCGCAAATGCATGTGCCTTCGAATTCCTTGCACCTGAACGTGGAGGGCCAGGCTCCAAAACAAGCTGGTCCCAATGACTTTTCAGGGGCATTCTTTTCCACCATCTCCTGTGGAAAAGACAGCCATCATTGTGATGCAGCCAGTATTTGGGCAAAAATGGTGATCGACCATCCGTTCCTAGATTCTCGTCTAAATCCTGCGGCATGCTCAGGACTTATTTAAATCGCTAGAATTATCTTTTATCCTATAACGCAACTAGTACTAGCAATGAAAGTTTTATTGAAAGGTAGATCAAATACCTGATGGATGAATAATCTTTTTTGAACCTCCATCTTTTGAAACTTCACCTTTTGAAACTTCACCTTTTGAAACTTCACTTTCTGAAACTTCACTTTCTGAAACTTCACTTTCTGAAACTTCATCTTCTGAATATCCATCATTACCTGATTCTACCTCATCTT